CCCCCAGGCGGCGGCGCGCACGCGGCCAGCCTCGGGGTCGGTCCCGCCCGTCGCGTGCGATATGCCTGTAAAATTGTAACCTTATGTATTCCACGACGGTTACATCAGACATGAATTGTTTTATGATCAAGGCAAGAAACCTCAAAATTCAGGATTGTCCAGTGCCCGGGCCCGTCTGCTGCAAGTGCTGTTCGAATCAAGGTATGCACATGCACGCGAAAGAAACAAGACAGGTGCGCTGCGCACACTCAGCCGCCGCCAGCGGGCCGAAGCAGGGTCGAAAGCCGCTCTGCGGCCCGCAGCACGGCGGCGTCGCTCACGCCCAGCGCCTGCGCCGCGGCCAGCACCTCGCGCGCGCAGTCCGGGAGCCCCGTCAGGATGCCAGCACCGGCCGTGCGCCGCGCCGCGCGCAGCGGTCGCCCCGGCCGCGCGGCCGCGCCAGGCCACGGCCGCCACGCGCTGCCGCGGCCGCCATGGCCGATCACGCCGGGGCCACGGCTCAGGGGCGGCAGCTTGCGCGGCAGCGCCGCCCACCAGCCCGGCCCCAGATCGCCCCTCTTGCAGCCATCGCTGCCGCTGCCCTTGCCGCCACCATTGCCGCCGCCACTGTTGAGCCCTACCAGGACCAGCTGATCTGGCAGCCGCGCTATCACAGGCAGCAGGAGCCGCGGCGCCGCCGCCCGCCCCCGTCGCCGCGCCCTGCCGCCCCCGCTGCCGCCACCGCTGCCCTCCTCGCTCTCAGCTGCGCTCTCGCTCTCGTCGCTGCCGCTCCCGCCCTCGTCGCTGCTGCTCACCCAATCAGACTCAGACCCGCTGCTGCCTCCGCCCCGCCGCCGCCGCGCTTTGCGCCGCTGCGGGGCTCGCTGCGCACCGGCGGAAGGCGCGCGGGGCCCGCGGCCGCCGCCGCCGCTGCCGCCGCCGTCACTACTGCTGCTGCTGCTGCTGCTGCTGCTGCTGCTGCTGCTGCTGCTGCTGCTGCTGCTGCTGCTACTACTGCTTTGGGTCCGCTGCTGCCCCGCCTGCTCCTGCCGCTGCTCCCGGGCCTCCGCTGGCGCTCGCCGCAGCCGGGCAGAGCGCCTTGGCCCCGGCCCGGACGCTGCCGCGGGCATTCGCTGCTCCCCAGCATCACGCTGGCGCTCCTGCCCTCCAGCAGCGCCGCCGCCGGTCTCTTTCGAGCCGCTGACGCCGCTGATGCTGCCGCCGCCGCCGCCGCCGCGCCGCCTGCGCGCGGCGACCACGGGCGCCTCCTCCGCCTGCCGCCCGCCCAGGCGCGCCCGCCAGGCGTCGGCGTACGCGTCGACCGCCTCGGGCAGCTGCCACGCAGGTGCGGCGCGCCAGGCGGGGCCCAGCCCCTGGATTGGCGAGTAGCTGCCGAGAAGCCGCCGCAGCTCCTGCCGGACGCGCTCGACCTCCGGCCAGCCGGCGCGCCTGGACCGTGTTTGGATTGAAATGCAAATTAGGATGCCAATTGTCGAGTTGGAATCGTCACGTTCTTGCAGAGCGGCGCATCACACGGAGCCCTGCCCACACAGCCTCATCGCCCCTTCCCCGAGCATGCACAGCCTGGCACAGACGGCTGCCCCAGCCGCGCTGCACAGGCATCAACCAGCCGCAGCTGCCCCAGCGACGACCACCGTGCACCCACGCCCCATCAACGCCCGCGAGCGCACCCGCGCCACGCGCCCCGCGTAGATCCCGCCGCCCGGCGCGGGCC